CACAGGGAGGCAGTCAAAATGGGGAGACAAAGAAACATGTATCAAATAAAAGAACAGAATAAAGCACCAGAAAAAGAATTAAATAAAGTGGAGATAAGAAATCTACCAGACTCAGAGTTCAAAACAATGGTTATAAGGATGCTCAATGATCTCGGGGAGAACTTCAACAAAGAGATAGGAAACATAAAAAAGAACCAGTCAGAAATGAAGAATATGATAACGGAAACGAAAGATATATTACAGGGAATCACCTGTAGATTAGATGCAGAGGATCAAATCAGCGATTTAGAAGATAAGGTAGCAGAAAACACCCAATTAGTACAGCAAAAAGAAAAAAGAATCCAAAAAAATGAGAGTTTAAGGGGCCTCTGGGACAACACATGCTGCCTATAAGAAACTTCAGATTGAAAGACACACACAGATTGAAAGTTAAGGGATGAAAGAAGATATTATATTTCATGAAAATGGAAACAAGCAAAAAATCTCAAGTAGCAATACTTATACTAGACAAATTAGACTTTAAAACAAAGACTATAACAAGAGTTATAGTAAAGCAGGATCTAGTAATCCCACTTCTGGGTATGTATCCAAAGAAACCCAAAATTCCACTTCAAGGGGACATGCTCATCCATGTGTTCACTGCAGCATTATTTACATAAGCCAAGATATGAAGTCAGCCTGGCTGTCCCTGAATGGGTGAATGGATAAAGAAGAGGTGGTACCTATATATAATGGAATATTACTCAGCCATAAAAAAGAATGAAGTCTTGCCATCTACGATAACATGGATGGACCTAGCGGGTATTGTGCTGAGTGTAATAAGTCAGATAACAAAAGACAAATGTCATATGATTTCACTTGCAAGTGGGATCTAAATAACAATAACAAATGAAATAGAAACAAACTCATAGATAAAAAGAACATTTTGATGGTTGCCACATGGGAGGGGGTTAGCTGGTGAGTGGAAACGGGGAAGAGATTACGAAGTATAAATTGGTTGTTACATGGTAGTCATGGGGATGTGGGGTACATAACACAAGGAATATTGTCAATAATATTGTAATAATTTTGTATGGTGTCAGATAGGTACTAGATCTATCAGGGTGATAGATGGGAGGGGGATTGGGGCAGGTTGAAAAAGGTGAAGGGATTAAGAAATACAAACTTGTAGTTATCAAATGGTCATGGGGATGTAAAATAAAGCATAGGGAATATAATCAATAATATGGTAACAACTATGTATAGTGCTATGTGGGTACTAGTCTGGGTGATGATTTCATAAATTATATAAATGTCTAACCACTATGCTGTACACCTGAAACTAATATAAAATAATATTGAATGTCAACTGTAATTGAA